TGGTTGGTAAGCTCAGAGACAGATGTTAATTTAAAATATAAAATAGAAAAGACATTAATATCATGTGATGATTGTGTATTGAGCTGTGATAAATGCAAAATATGTATACATACATATAAATGCACATGTATGAATAATATTATTTATTTCAATATTTGCAAGCATATTCATGCATGTGCTAAAACAGAGACTGTGGGTAGTTTGCAGAGAGATGAAAATCAGATTTTACCACCAACACCAAAATTAGTTGTTGATAACGGTTTCAGACAAACAATTAAAGAGTCAGACTTAAATAGAAAAACTAATGAAGATATAAAAAATAAACTTGAAACAATATATGGTATGGTTAATCGAGCACAATTAGAAGAGACTGATATAACATACATCATTAAGCAATGCGATAATATAATTTCGAAATTGGCAAATAATATAAGTTTTAAAGAAATCACCACAAATGGAAGCAATAAAAGAAAAATAGAATTGCAAGACAGATTTTTTACAAAAAAAAAATGTTCAAGTCAGCATCATACTTTATCTTCTTTAGAGAGCAAACACATAAGGCAATCATTCTTAAACATAAATAAAGAAACATTGAATATAAGTACAACAGCTACGTTTGATCACTCTTATAATTTAAAATAAATTTAGATTTTTAGTTATATTATTGACTTGAGCTATTATTTATAACAGTAATTCCTATATTATTTGAATTGATTGTATTAATATGAGTTTTGACGTTGTTGGCTGAACGTAAGTAATATTTAAATTTTAGTATTTTAGATTTTTAGTTATACCTATAATTGACTTGAGCTATTATTTATAATATTTATTTTACATATACAAAAAATATACAATATAATGTTCAATTTACTTTGTTCGTGATTCTTGGAGCAAATGACAAGCAATTTGTTTTTGATGATGTTGACTTTACATACTGATAAAATTCTTTTTCTTCAATATCTTTTTTCCAATAATTAAAATCTATCATATATTTAAAAATGTGTAAATTAATTTGCACATGCGTAATTAACCCCTACAATCAGACAGTAAAGCTACATGTCCTATCTGACACTGTATACCAGTACACTGTACAGCACCCAAGATAAAATTTTATTCACAGACATTTTGTTAATAATAAATTATTGATGAACAATTTTATTGACAATTATTAATTGCTTGAACAAAAAAAAAATAAATAATCACAATCAACGATAACTGATAAGATGATAGGGATTAGACTAGACGTGATTCACTCTGGTGGACATTTTTGACATCATGGATCACAAAAATTTTTTTCCTGCGAAGAACCGTTCGTCTCACCACGCTCGACACCGCTGGATTGGTCACCCTGCCTAATCGCAGCACGGCCGTCTAAGGCGACACGGCCATCTTTGCGCGCCGAACTCGCGTTCTTCTCGTTCGACCGATTTCCTGATCAATACGTACGTTATGCCCGACCGCCTTTTCGTCTTTTTGGTTATACACGTGCTCGTGATCGACGACCCTTTACTAACGCGAGTCCTCTTGCTTGTTTTATTATTTCTCATATATTGATTTAATGTATAAAAATATATACTATTTTTTTTTTTTTTAATATTAATAATATATTATTATAATAATTTATTTGATCGACGTGTCTTACGTATGTTTTATCATCGCTAGATTTACACTCATACCTTTTACTACCTACAACTTTACTGACTGTTGCTCTTATCCAAGTTTCTTTATTACCTGGTTTGTAATATTTAATCATTACCTTGTCACCTATATCAAACACTTTATTATTACTATAGTGCGGCCAGCGAAACTAGAAGCTTGACGGTCACGCGCCCTAGTGGCCGTTTTTCATTAGGGCTACGAAGAATGATTTCCCGCGTAAAACAATTTCAAACACATTTACACTTGTTGTATAGACCTGTTTCACAGCTACTCGTACGATACGCGTGCTTATCATATATTCTTAAACACAACGTAGCAACGCATTTTACTGATTATTTACAATAGAATGAGAACCACTTTTCGTGAGCCGGACTACTATATAACATATTCACTATATTCATTTCGAAAAACAACGCAGCTGTACAAACAACCAAAATATTTAGAACCCCTGGTTTACACGAAAACGGTCACTAGGGCGCGTAACCGTTAAGCTTCTAGTTTCGCTGGCCGTACTACACCATTTTAATTTTGTATCGCCTTTTCTTATTTCTCCAGCAGAACGTCGTTATCAGATTTATAAAGTAAATCTAATCTACAACGTAATTTTCTCCCCAACATTAAAATTGCTGGCGATTCCCTCGTAGTGGAATGTGGTGCATTTTTATATCCTAATAGGAATTTATTTATTATAACTGACTTGGATATATATTTATTTTTTTGATCCGCAAATGCTGCCGATAATGCATGTGTGGGATTTAAATAATAAAAATCACTCACAATTTAATTTAATTAAAATAGACACTATATTATATAAATATGTATGTACAAATATCGATACGCGTTACAATTGCGCGGAGGAATTGCCGAATATATCGCGGAGTGTAATTCATGATGTGTCACGGATTGTACTCACGGACTGATTGAATGAACGTCTGACCAGCCGGTATATATATCGGCGTCGATTATCTAGAACATTCTCGAAATTACCTTAACGAGATAATCATCGCATATTCTAGAACATGGGATTTCCCCTGATCCACTGACAATATTATAAACAACTTGGACGATTCGCGGTGCGTTGTTTACGTCACCACACGTTTAGTTGTTTTAACTGCATTTTCTTCCACACCATTTGTAGCAGGGTGTCCCGGAGCTGTGCGCAAATGTACTAAGCCATTACTTTTTAAAAACGTAGCGAATTCATTTGAAGTCAATTGAGCTTCATTATCCGAAACTAACGTTAAAGGTAACCCCCATCTACCAAAAATCTCTCGCAATTCAGAAATGGTGTTGTCCGTCGTTATACTTTTCATCTCTTTTACTTCCAACCACTTTGTAAATGCATCTATAACAACTAAAAAGTAACCATTGTGATAAGGTCCAAAAAAATCTATGTGTATCCTCTACCATACCCCGCTCCGTCTGCTCCATGGTATTAATTGTGACTTTTTAGGATTTTGTTTTAAACGCCAACAATTGTAGCGTATAAATTCTGGGTCTAATGCGTATGGTGTGGAAAAATAATTAAGTCACAAATTAATGTCATACAAAATACTTTATTCGCCAAC